CTGTCGCGTTGTCTCTCTCTTTTTCTCTCTTTTCCCTCTGTTTTCGCCGGTGACGTGTCATGTCACGGTGAGCCCGAGGGCGAGCACCTCTCATCAATTCCTCGTGCTCATGTCTTTGCCTTCACGTCCCCTCTCCAGTCCACCCCATCCCGCCTTGATTACGGCCAGGCCGAGCTCCAATTTTTGGAGCTTTGCCCGCCGCCGTGCCGTTAAGACCCGTCACCGCCCGCACCGTGGCCAGCCTCCACCCTTCACCCTACGCTAATTCCTCTACACCATTAGCTCGCCTTGGCTCCCTCTCCACCGTGCACACGCCAATGGGAGCGCTACCGCCTCCCTGCTGTCGCTGATGCGGCCATGTCCACCGCGGTTCGTCGCTGTGCTCATCGTGCGCACGTGGCCAGCACTACTCAGGTAGTCGCTGGTCGAACCACCACTTCGGCCTGGTTCGCGGTGTGCCCTGGTGCTTATTTCCTATCTCTACCGTCTTGTTAGCGCTGTGGCTCACCAGAATGTGGTTGCCGCCGTTGTAGGTCGCCTAGCCGCTGGGAGAGCCCATTCTACCTCACCCCCAATCGTGCCACCACCGCCCATCGCTTCACGTCGAGCCCTAGGTGAGCGTTGGCCTCGTAGATAGGTCAGCGTGGGTCCCATGTGGCCGGCGCAAGATCTAGTGCCACCGCTCGCCGTGCCAGAGCACACGGGGGAGGCTGGGGACCTTGCCGTTGTAAAGAGGAGAAAGATCCGAGGGTTCTGTTGCAAAGTCGTTGTCTATAGAATTAGTACGGGTAGTGTCCGCGCTATTTTCTGATAACGCGAGGGCATTTTTGCAAGAGTGCCAGCGCGCATGGGCTATCTCGCTTGTGGGCCGCCGCACGCTCACGCGCGCTTGTGTTGCGCCGCGTGGGCCGCGTTGGGCCGAAATCAGTTTAGCTTTTTCTTGGAGAATAGAAATAGCTTTTCATTTGTATTTATGAGCTGATTTTTGGTAAATCATATAAAATCATGTAGGTATCCAAAAATTATGAAATCAATTTTGTTAAGTTTCTAAAATTGTGCTCTATCTGTTAGTATATTTATTTCATATATGTGCTTATTACCAGGAGCTATTAAATCATCTGAGAGTGCTTAATATTATTAGGTTAAATATTGTAAGAATTTTTGTGGTACATTGGTAATAGAAAAAACCCTAAAATTTTTACAGTAGCTTCATTGTATTATTATGTGCTCACTATAATTTTTGTAGCTCTTAAATAGACTATTTAAAATGATAGCTAAATACCCATTAAGGCTAAATGAATAATGGCATGATGTTGGTTATAAAAAAATTAAGCACTTGTAGGGTGAGCTTGGAATCTATTTGATAGAGATAATGATTAGCTTAGTATCTTAGTCATTAGATCTAGCTTAGTCGCTTACCATGTGTATTCTTATTTTAAGAATTGCTGTTGCCGAAATGCTAAGTGTTGCATTATCATCGCATGCATGTAGAGAACGAGTTGGCGGAGATCGTGACCATCGGAGACCATGACTTTGAGGAGGTGATCGAGGAGTACGAGGAGGAGATCCTCGTGCAGGAGGAGGTCCTGGAGCCGCCACTGACTTACTGAGCTGACACCCCGCTTGCCCAAGGCAAGCCCCGGTGCATAACCCTTATTTTGAATAATCACTGGATATATATATATATATGTGATGTGCATCTACGGTGCATGCTTATTATTGAAACTACATGCATAGATAAACCTACCTATGGGTCCTACTAGCATAGGTCGATTAGCTGCTATGCTTAGGCTATCGGTAGCGTGAGTAACCTGTCGTTACTCATAATAGGTGATTATTATTATCACTCTCATGATAAAATGGTGAAAAAGAAATGGAGACCGAGTAGAGATATGGTACGGGTATTGGTGGGTGTAATAGGTTGTGTCCCGCGGCCAACGGGGCATAGCTTGGTTACACTGTTTTCTCTGTCCGTGTCGGTTAAAGACCAGCCATTGCATTGGATTCTAGTTAAGTCACAGACTTATTATCCTGAGCACATACTTGCTTATGAGGGGGGAAGGCTCGTTGCTCTCTTGTCGTAGGTTTCAGCTCTTTCCGGACCGACTGATTGGAGGCAGGAATGGTGGAGGTCTAAGCACCACACTGAGTCCAGGACTCAGGTGTGGAGGCTTGGAGTCCAAGTTTGAACGGGGACCTGGACCCCTTGACAAGAGAGTGGTGGTTTGGTCCTGCTTGTGCCTAGGGTACAAGCGGGGCGTGTGTTTCAGGGTACCTAGTTGGGCTACATTGATTCACGAATCGACGTGTAATACGATACGACTTGTCTTTGATCTAGCACCATAGTAAGAACTAGAAGATGAAAGATGGTGAAATGGATCTGATTGCTCAAGTTTTGCTTCAAAGTAGAACAAGTGCTTACATAGAATGGTTAGCTAATGAACTAATCATGACTACTAATAAAACACATACATAAGAATTTACTACTAGTATTGCTTTTTGTAAAAAGAAAACCAGTACACCATAAAGCTTATCATATCCTTTGGAGTCGAAAAATTATTCCCACTAGTCTAGTAAGTCTTGCGAGTATATTGTGTACTCAGGGTTTATTTATCCCTATTGCAGGTGCAGCTTGAGGAGTGACTGTTGTGTGGAGGATTCTTCTGGTGGCCACAGACGGATCCTTGTATCTTATCGTTACAAGTTTATTTTAATTCCGTTGTTTAAATTTCGCACTCTGAATTTGGTATTGTAATAATATATTTCTGAGAACTCTTGATGTATGAAATGGACTAAGTATTGTAAACTCGCTCTTATTATTGGATCCTGGAGGAAAAACGTGGATTGTTCGAGTTCTCCCTTGGGGTGTGCTCGACGGAACCGTCCGATGTAGCTTGCTTTCGGGGTGATTAGTGTCTATTGGAAGACAAGCGCCTCCGAAGGTGTGTTATTTCGAACGATTCTGCCACACTGAGCGACGTGGCCCAATAAAATATCACAGTTTGAACTATATGGTTTGGGAAGGAAGAGATTTTGGTAGGGGTACTCCATATAGGTGATTCCATTGCACAATATAATAAATATGGAGTAGTTGTGAGAAGCTTTTAGTTCCTAGCTCCCAGTGCAAATGAAGAAGTTGTTCCCGTATGATTCTCATAAGAATCCATATGAATTTCTACTGTTCAACTTAGGAGAAGTGATTCTCAAAAGAAAAAAACTACTTCCGAAAGCATTGCCAAAAGGCCTCTTAGATTCAAATTTTGATGCGCTTATAAAAATTGTAAATGCATGACTATTTTCATTTCTAGTTTTTACAGCGACAAGAGATTCTCTGTCTTTACTATTATGGATCAGGGGTTCCTTTCAGAGGGGGATGCTATATTCCACCCAGATGGAATTTTCACCCATTCTTTTCACTCTAAATTCCAGATCGCTCCATTTATTGTTCTAGTACTAGTATAAGAAAAAAAATGCCCCGGTTGAGAAAAATAGTGTTCCACGTGCAATTGGTACCATGGTGCAAAAGCACAGACCCATCAACCGTTAGCTAGGTACAGAATACAGAAGTATGTGTATTCTTTCCTTTTTTTCAAAGTTTCTGGAATGTTTGAGCTTAAGAAAAAAATGCTTGAGTTTCTCGTAACTAGATAAAAAATAATAGTCATCTGTTTCAAATTGCAAGTCATTTTAGTTTTTGTTCTAAGTCAAACTTTCTTAACTTTGACTTAGTTTATATAAAAATATATCATCATCTATAATATTAAATAAATATACCCACTATCAAACTATATTTTATGGTGTATCTAATAAAATTTGTTTGATGTCGTAGTTTTTTTCTATAAAAATTGTTGGAAAATGAACCTAGGGGAGAGCAAGCGTGGGTACATAAATTTTAATATTTTAGTTTCTCTTAAAGCTGTGTTGAGATTTATTTGCTGAACGAAGAGCACGAGTTGATTTTTATTTTTATTTTTTTGTAGGGAAAGGAGCACGAGTTGATGGAGGCAGGTTCTTGGGCCCATGAAAAGACTGGGGCATTACGAAGGCCGGCCCATTATAATTAATCATATACATTTGGTCTTGAGCCGTGACACCATCGTGAGATCAACAAATAAACTAGATTCTTCGTTAAAAAAATAGATTTACTCAAATGCAGTTGTCTAATATTTTGTTTTCTTGTCAGTCAATTTTCACGGAACATCACATGTCTACTGTCGGAACATCACAAAATGCATTGCAGAACATTATAAAATATATAACAGAACATCGCATGTATTTTAGCAGCCGTTTGAGAACATCACAAAACATTAAAATGTATCATAGAACATAACAGAACATCACATGTGTATCACTTGAACATCACAAAAACATCATAGAACATCACATGTATACTACGTGAACATCACAACATGTCAATGTTATAGAACATCATGTACTATGTGAACATATAAATATATTACGTGAACATTATAAAATACATCACAGAACATGACTGATGGTTTGTGCCACACAAAAAAAAAATCAAATTTCCGTCATCATATCAAAAATAAGTAAGAAATTGATTGTGGAAAAAAGTAAGAAATTGATTGTGAAAAGAACCACTCAGTTTCCATTGAAAATTTGAAACCTACAGTACTTTGTTTATACGAATTAAAGAGATGGATCATCGCTTCTCCAATAGTCCAATGAATGAATGAATTACATATAAAGCTGGCCTGGCCTGCTCAGGTATACTTATCAGATCGAGGCAAAAATAAAAATAAAAACGAAGTCCACATATATTGGATTGGAAGCCAAGAAAAATCAAAAGAAAAACAAAATCCTAGTACTAGCTAGTGCTTGCTTATAAGAAGGTGAAGGACAGCAATAAGACTGGCGAGGTAGGCGGCAGGCCAGCTGAAACGATACGTTGGAGCTGAATGGTACGTAGATATTATATATAAATATATATAAGTAGGATCGTCGATGGTATCGTATGGATGATGATGAGATGTGATGCATCAGAAGACCTTGGCGACGTCCTTCATGAGCCCCGGGTTGGCGTTGCAGAAGGTGATGAACTCGTTGAAGTCGATGCAGCCGTCGCCGTCGGTGTCGATCTCGGCCATCATGCGCTGCACCTCGTCGGCGGAGGTGGACCCCAGCTGCCGCAGCGCATCCGTCAGCTCCGACAGCGAGATCTTGCCGTCGCCGTTGGTGTCGAACCGCTTGAAGATCCGCTCCATGTCCGCCGTCTCCGCCATTACCGACGAATCTGCTGGACCGCCGATGGATCGATCGATCGTCTGTGTCTCCGGTCTCCCGGACCGGCTTGCGGTCAAGTGTGGCGGTGGCGGGTCCCTCTCCGACGACGCTCCGAGCTACCGTACCTCTCGACCTCGAAGTCTGCGCGTGCACGCGTTCGTGCTTCCTCCTTGGTCGTGCTCTTCTATGTATCCGCTGCATATATAGCGAGAAGGGGTCCCAGATTTCTGAAAGAGAGGACATGCCGGGGAGAAATCCTTGGGTCACCTCACTTCCCATCCATCGCCATGCACGGATGCACCAGCTGCAGCTCGCCCGCCGGAAGAATCGTTCAGCCGGACGGAGCAGAGGAGGAATTTCATGTGTGCCATTAAAAAAAATCTCAATGCACTGTGTGTTGCTGAAAAAGTTCAGCGGTCTTCAGCGTCACTGCTCTAACTTTTTTGTGCCCTCTATAACACTGCCGTCAGTTTGGGCTCTAACACCGTCAAACTACAGGTGTGAAAAGTCAAAAATACCCTTAAGTATAAATATGTCATTAATTTTTTTGAGCATCTTAACGACTTCAAATGAAAAAACTCAAAACTAGAAAGTTGTAGATCTCGTCGAGATCTATAATTTTCATATAAAAATTATCTTCATTTAATTCCAAAAAAATATGATTTGATATGATTAATATATCTTAGAAAAGTCATATCTTTTTTTCGGAATTAAATAAAGATAATTTTTATATGAAAATTATAGATCTCGACGAGATCTACAACTTTCTAGTTTTGAGTTTTTTCATTCGAAGTCGTTAAGATACTCAAAAAAATTAATGACATATTTAAACTTAAGGGTATTTTCGATTTTTCACACCTACGTTGATGGTGCTAGAGCCCAAACTAATAGCAGTGGCATGGAGAGCAAAAAATAGTTAAATCAGTGACACTGAAAATCGCTGAACTTTTTCAGGGCACCCAAGGTATTGCGCCGCGGAATTCTCCGTTCAATCAACCGTGCAAGCCATCATCAACTAGGCTTCGAGGCCCAGTTTCTAAGCCCATACATGTACTTATGGAGGGCCACGGTCCATGAAGCGAGAAGCGCAAACGCACTAGAGGCCCATTACCGCTTTCAGCCCACCGTGGCTCCGACTCCTCCAGCCGACTCGGACCACCGGTGGTCGTGTCGTGGAACGGTGGAAGCCGCGCAGCCACGGCGGGGCCTGTTCACCGCGATCGCCGCCCGGGATAGAGGGGGTCTCCAATGGCGGTGCCGGGCGCCGCAGCCCGCCGCCTCCTCGCGCTCGCGCCCGCCCGCAGCCGCCGCGCCTTCTGGTCGGCCTCGTGGGCCGGCGCCGACCCGGCCGCCCCTCCCGCCTCGTCGACGTCCCCCGACAACAACAGCAGCAGCAGGAAGAAGAAGGCGCCGTCCGGGTCTGGGCACCACCGCCTCGCCGCCGTCATGGACGCCGTCAACGAGCGCAAGCTCCCTCCCGAGCTCCGCGGGCGCGGCAACGCAGTAAGGTCGGTGTCTCTGTCCCAGATCCCTCCTCCACACCGTTCGCAGGAAAAAATCGTAGCTTTATCTTTATTTATTACTCGTTGTGCTGTGCAGTGGCAATTGATTGAATCTAGATTCGACATGATGTATGCTGCAGGAATAGTTGTTCATAGTAACTGTTTGCTAGTTCTGTGTAATTTGTTTCACAAAACGTTACACGGAAGAAAATCCACCATGCCGGCGCATGCACAAATTTAAAGACTAACCTTCACAAAAAGTAAGTCTTAACTGATAGACGTGTTAGGGGCTCAGAAGCACTACTATAAGAGTGAAAATGTAGAGGTTGTTTTCCCTTGTGCCACCATTCCAGACGCGAAATTGATAGTATGGTACAGTCAATCTCCTCATCGGAACTATTACATAGTATCGAAAGGTTTGATATCTTGTTTCTACTTGCCTAGATTGATATTTTCTTTTGTTTAGGTTCCCGATTGTCCACGTGATTATAATTACTTTTTGTCAAATTTTAGCTCACGCGTACATCTGGTTTCTTGTGTGAACTCAAATGTCCATTTCTTGATTAACCCTATCATCCTGTTCTTGCACATAAGACCCCATCAACCATCCAGATGTTTGGGTACCTGGCACTACAATCCTTTTCCAATCACACTGTATGTGAATTCTGTACAACTATTACACCGAATGGTGTTTGTTTTAAGGTATATCTGGGGTGCTGACAGTGGCGGACCCAGCCGCAAATATAGGTGGGGCGGAGATAGACCACAAACTAAAAAAAAAAAATCATACTTATGTACGCGAACAATTGCAATTGAAATTAAACCAGTTTTACCTCTAGTTTTCTCTTCTTCATGCCAAGATAAGAGGGACACCACAAACTTGGGCCATCATTGTTGCTCCATCCCTGGCCGCCGGCGTAAGGTGCAAGCCGACCTTGGGTCGTCCCTCCAATCCCTGCTGCTGCTTGCCCTTCTCCTTCCTTCATGGCCGCAGCTGAGCTGCTGGCCTCTAGTTTACCCGTTTAGTCAGCCCAAAAAATAAACAGAGGCTGGGATGATGTCAGGCAAATGAGCAATTTCGAGGTCGCTCGTCTTCAAACTTCTCCAGCTTGTTTGTCGCTCCTTCAGATAGCAGGATCAGCCATGGCTGAGACCTGAGTAGTGGGGCTACGGGGATTAACACAGATGGCTACCTGGGCTGGCTGCCCCACCCTGCTGCAGCAGTAGGTCTGCCCCTGGTGATGATGACCAAATTGGTACTCACTGTTTTGGACATTTTTTTTGTTTGTAACCTTCTTGTCCTTGAGGTAGTGTGAAATAATGATTACAGCCCTCTTGCCATTGTTAATAATGCCCACTGTAAGAAAATCCTCAATGGTGTCCTCAATAGATAGATAAATAGATCTCAATGGTGTCAGCCAAGAATTGAACTTGCTTCGAAGTTCAAACCTCACCCTAAAGTGATAACTGTTAATGTTTATAGGATGCCTTATTTGTGATCAGCTGGAGCTAGGCAAGGCATCTGAGCAAAACCTGCAGATACCGCTATGCTGTTCCTTTCTTTCTCTTTACCATGGTCCAAGCTCCCATTATGCATCCTTGGTGTTGTGCAAATAAAGTTTAATGTAAGAGATTATGTCCTGTAGTTGGCACGCAGCTGGCTAGTTGCTTCTAGTTATCAATATCTCAGTTTGTGATTACTCATAAGAGTACACAATGCATCACAAACATGAAAGCCAGTAGGTTGGGTCTATGCATTCCGATATCTGCCTTGATGTCAGAACTTTGTAGATGCTCATGCCAAATCACCAATAATTTTTTAATTTAAGACTGGATAAATGTTCAGGTTGGTATCTCATTGATACATCCAAGTTCTGTCAGTCGTGCATTATTTATCAAAAGATTTTGTTTGTCCATAATAGCTTGTTTGCCATTGTTCAGGTCTGAAACTGACATTGTAAATGTCGTTGAACAAAGAATATGGCATTCAATGGAGGAAGGGCACTTTGAAAATCTACCAGGGAAGGGCAAACCCCTAAACCTCACTTCAAATCCTCATGCCGATCCTGCCGAGGACACCCTTTACCGGATACTTTCAAGGAATGGTTGTGCACCTGAATGGGTTGAGTTGAATAAGGAAATCCGTGGTCTGATCATGGGCTGGAGGTCGGCATTAAGGAAGGCATGGGCAAGCCGCTCAGAAGATGATGATTCTAACTGGAATGACGACTGCAGGGTTCTCCGGGAGCAAATTCACCAGATAAATGATAAGGTGCTACTTGAACCAGCTCACATGACTTCTCATTAGTGGAATCACCAAAATGGGATGATAAGGAGTTCTATTTTGATGTAAAATTGCAGGTTTTCCGGTACAGTCTGATAGTACCCTTGGGTGACAGATGTTTGGTCTGAACTGGGACAAGGAGGTGGACAAGTTGAAGAAGAAAGGACAAGGAGGTGGACAGATTGATGAAGAACATAGCATGGAATACTTTTGTTGTATCAAAATGGCCTGTAACTAGGAATATCTTGTAGGACATACACATACTTAAGAAACCAGGAAACATGAGTATAGGTATTTATATGTAGGCTTTTATATTAGTTTATATGCTTTGGAAAACCAAGTTTTCCGGTGCTGTAGCCTATTTTGTGGTAACACTCGATGTATGTCACATGGGCAAAACCTAAGCTTATTTATCAGCAATTTAATTTCTCAAACACGTAGGAGAGTTGTGTATCATTACTGGTGATGTTTTATGTAAAGTTGGCCATATTCAGGTGAATGCTGAAAGCCTAAAACTTTGCGCAATGTTGTATAGTTGGAGCTCTCGAAAAGGTTCTTATACCTTAAATATATATAGATAGAAGTATTGAACATGCAGCCATGATTTTGATAGTGAATGAAAGAAATTTGTATTGGATGTTTGTATTAGGACGCATGTAGCATAACCCAAGTCAGTGTAAATATATACAATGTGTCGGTGTTATCGTTCTCCATTGGTTACATTCTATTCCATGTGGACACTTTCATATTATTGTATGGGGCTTACTAGCGTCCGGACGGACGGGACGTCTGGACGCCCGCGCCTACAGTAGTTTTCTACGTGGTTTCGCACGCCACGTGGGGCCCACGCCGCTCCCGAACATCACCGGCGTCGAGAAAGAGGGGGAGGGGGCGGCGGATGCCTAGCTGGCGCCGGGAGGAGGATACACCAAGGAAGGCAGCAGAAAGTGAGGAAGAAGATGCAACACCCGATATACTTTTCAAACATTCATATGCAACAATTGCAACATATGTCTGAAGTCAGATGAAATACTTGAAACATGTATCTGAAACACTTGCAAAACACACATGAAAAGCACTTGAAAACCATTGTAAAACATACGCAACATCTAGATAAAACACTTGCAACATAGCGTGAAACATATGCAACATCCAAATAAACACACTTGTAACGTATGTCTGAAAAAAAACATTGATGAAACATTAGAAACAA